CCCTCTGACCATAAACCAGGAATGTGAATAAGCTTGCCATTATTCAGAATTCATTGGAAGTGGATTATTGCAGATGCAGTTAGGGTAAAATTTAGCATATTCTCATTTGATTTCCCTCAGGATCCATTTTAAATTTGTTATAGTTCTTAATAATTTTTGCTTCCTTTTTGAAATCTGTTTTACCTTGTTATTGTTGTTAGTTTTGTTTATTTTTATGTTTTTCTGTGTATGAAATCCAGGATAGGTAAATCTATAGAGAGACAGTGACTGGATAATGCTTCTCTTGGAGTATAGCAAGGGAGATTGGAGAGAAACGGGGAACTAATAGCAATGAGTACAAAAATGAAGAAAATGATTGTGGTGGTGATTGTAAACCTCTTCTTGATGTGATTGAACTATTGAACTGTATAAAATATGCCAATATAATATATATGTGAATTATATGCCAATAAAACTGTTAAAAAAATCATACCAACCCCTTCCCCCCAATAATAACACAAGAAAACCTCATTGTTTTGCATTTCTTCTGATGACCAAGATGTGTATCTTGCCATGTGATTTTTGGCCATACATGTACTTTATTTGGGGAGGATCTGTAAAGTTCCTTTACTCATTTATTTACTTAGGGTTTTTTTCCTTCTCATTTTTATATAGGATTATTTGTTTTATTGTTAACTTGTAGTAGTATTTTATTCAGTCTACTAGCCCCTTATCAGATACCTGATTCCAGATATTCTCTCCTATTCTGTGTATTGTCTTTACCCATGCTTGCTACTGTCCTTTGATGCACAAAAGTGCTTTATTTTTGATGAAATCTAATTTATCTTTTTCTTCTGATATTTTTAGTGTCGTATTTAAGAACCCCTTGCCAAACCCAAGTCCATTAAGACTTATTTTTATAGTTTCTTCTAAAAGTTTTGTGGTTTTAGTTCTTTTATTAAGTTGCTTATTTATTTTGAATTAATATTTGTTTATGATTTGAGGTAGTTTCATCCATCTTTAGCAACTTGACCATAATGTAAGGGTTAATTTCTGGACTCTCTTATCTATTCTGTTGATTTCAATGTCTATATTAGCAGAGAGTACCAAAGAGAGCATTTGTGTAATATAGATAAGGTTTTCTAATTCCTTCACAGGTGACTCATTTTTATGTCTCTAAATATTAAATGGATTAATTATAGTAAATTCCAACAATAAAATTTAAGGACTTACACTTTTGTTGTAAAATTTCAGAGCATTGTGCTTGCTAAATGGCATTCATTATTTTTTTCAAAACGCAAATTTGTAAGTACTATTTACCATTAGACATAACCTCAGTTATATAAATTTTTAATTTTCAGGTAATAAAAGTTAGTGTAATCCACTTTATGTTAATTTTGTATAAATTTTTGTCTGTTTTCTTTTCAGGTTAATACAATCTGTTGGAATGACACTGGAGAATATATTTTATCTGGTTCAGATGACACCAAGTTAGTAATTAGTAATCCTTACAGCAGAAAGGTAAAGTGGTTTACGAAATTAATTGTATGTGAGGGGGGAAGAAAACCCCCCAAACAACCAAGAAGCTAAAACTAAAGAAGTTATAAATAATCATAAAATGGGCATTTACAATTGATTATACTTATGTTCTAAATTTTATTATATAGATCAGAAGTTGTTATTTGCAGCTCCTTTTGCTTCATTATGAAAACATTAGATTTAACTTAATCTTTAGACTCCAAGGAATTTAAATATATTTCATTGTATGCAAGTTACTTGATCTCAATAAACCATTCTTTAAGAGAAAGAAAGGCAGTCATTTCTCTTTAGTATAAAGATGACTCACTAAGTGTCTTACCTTTCATTGTGTTATATCTCTAGCACATTTTTTTCTATATGTGAGGTGTCGGGGCAGCTTAAATTTTGATGTATAAAACAATCAAGACAGAATTTATGAAATACGTTACTTAAAATTAATTCTTGTTCGCCAAATGAACTGGACTTTTAAATGAGTGAGCCTTGTGAACACGTGTATTTCATAGCATTCTGTGTATAATAACTTCAGTTAATAGCATTCATGTTTATTTTAAATTTAAAGAGTATTAAAATAAAAATTTTTTAATTTAAATCATTTTATTGGGGGTTCGTACAACTCTTATCACAATCCACATGTACAAGCACTGTGTCAAGCACATTTGTACATCTGTTGCCCTCATCATTCTCAAAGCATTTGCTTTCCACTTGAGCCCTTGGTATCAGCTCCTCATTTTTTTCCCTTCCCTCTCTGTTCCCCCTCCCTCATGAACCCTTGATAATTTATAAATTATTATTATTTTGTCATATCTGATACTGTCCGACGTCTCCCTTCACTCACTTTTCTGTTGTCTGTCCTCCAGGGAGGGGGTTATATGTAGATCCTTGTAATCAGTGCCTCCTTTCTACCCCACCCTCCCTCTACCCTCCTGGTATCACCACTCTCACCCCTGGTCCTGAGAGGCTCATCTGTCCTGGATTCCCTGTGTTTCCAGTTCCTATCTGTACCAGTGTACATCCTCTGGTCTAGCCAGGTTTGTAAGGTAGAATTGGGATCATGATAATTGAGGGGTGAGGGGGTGGGAGGAAGCATTTAAGAATTAGAGGAAAGTTGTGTGTTTTATCGATGCTACACTGCACCCTGATTGACGCGTCTCCTCCCTGCAACCCCTCTGCAAACAGATGTCCAGTTGCTTACAGATGGGCCTTGGGTCCCCACTCCGCACTCCCCCTCATTCACGATGACATGATTTTTTTGTTCTTTGGTGCTTGATACCTCATCCCTTCAACACCTCGTGATCACACAGGCAGGTGTGCTTCTTCCATGTGGGCTTTGTTGCTTCTGGGTTAGATGGCCGATTGTTTACCTTCACGTCTTTAAGACCCCAGACGCTATAGTGAAAAAAGTTTTATGTAATTTTAAATTAGTATTCTCAAAAAAAATAAATAATAGTATTCTCATTGTACCAGCTAAAATGAGCTTCTCTTAACAAGCACATCATTCACTTTTCACATTTAGGTATTTTGTCTTTTAGGGAAATTTTTTAAGTTAGTGGTTTCACCAGGTAGCTTTTTTGCTGTCTTTATGTAAAAACAAAATATCATCAATTTTATCACTTTGCTTTCTATTTTTTTACTTTTTGCTTTCTAAATAAGTTCCAAAGATTTTTTGTTTTTCTGTTATTTTTTATAGGAAATATTAAAATATAGAGCTATTATTCAGTGCTAGCCATTATGTTAATTATAATGATCAAAAGTATAATCTATGGGCAGAATATAGTTCTTTGCCCCGTTGACTTTGGCCTTGGCTATCTTAGTTTTGTCAACCATCTAGTCTGAAGTTAATGGCAAATATGTAAGTACGAGATAACTATAATCTGATAACTGGTATTTCACTGCCGTCAAGTCAGTGCTAACTCGTAGTGATTCCCTAAGGGTTTTCTGAGACTAACTGTTCACAGGAGTAGAGAGCTCCTCTCCTGAGGAGCTGCTGGGGGTTTCAGCCTGCCAGCCATGTGAAGCTCAGCCCAAAGTGTTACCCTAACACCACCTGTGCCCCTTGATAACTGGTGTAGTGAAATTAGACATGATACTGCAGACATCAACCTGGCAGTACTCAAGTTTCTGTGGACAGGATGGATTTCAGAGGGGGAAGGTTTTTCCATGTCATATTTCTCAACCATTTGTCTTACTCACTTTCACCATTAAGAATATGTCAGGACTTCAAAAAGTTCGTGGAAAATTTCCCATTATCTTTTAATACCACTTTCCACAAACTTTGAAGCCCCTTTTCAGTGTTCAGAAAACTGCCCAGGTTAATCCTTGGTTCATTTTCTTGTGATGTTGGACTTTAGTCCTTTAGAAATGTTATTTCATTTAAAATAGTCTTAGACACACGCAGCCAAATGGTTGACACGTGGCTTTTCCTTGAGGGTAGACACTAAATAAAAAGTTGTCTTTAATGATGAAGTCAACATATGTACTAATGTGCTGGGCACAAATGATGTATGTAAGGATTGTGATGAGTTGTATGAGCCCCTAATAAAATGATTATTAAAAGACAAAAGAGAAAGAGGAACAGAAACACAGGGAGAAAGTAGGATACATGGTGTTATGTTATGGGACTACAATCAATGCCATGAAACAAAATGTGTATCAATTGTTAAAAGGAAAGCTGATCTGTTTTGTAAACCTTCACACAATTCAAAATTCAAAGTTATAAATAAATAAGGTTTGTTCTTTTCTTCAAAAAAAAGTTGTCTTTAATAAAAATTAACTCAGTCTAGTTTGGACCATATCTCCTGCCCAAACAACTAAAATGTGCTTGATTAAATACTTCTAAAATCATCTTCAATAAAACAAATAGCTTCCCTGATCGTAAGTAATGGCCTGGTTAAATCTTAAGGAACAAGTTAAACACATAAAACTTAGGGTAGGTACCAGTTTATCCTTGAAAGTATTTGTCAATCCAAGCATATATAAATTTTAAATTTGTTGGCCTAGAAGGTCAAGGTAGGAAGAAATCAAAGCTCAGGGCCCAAATCAGGTATATAGTCCATTAAGACCCCAAAAGACCACTTTTTCAGGGTATAGGTGAATCAGAAGGGAGTCAGTACTCACACAGCCTTTCAGACTTAACTTGTATGATGTACGTGAACTATGGGACATTAAGCCTTAAACTTTACATATATTAATGACTGTTAGTTTTCCAAGACCGACCAATAAAAGCAGATCCTCTCTGGAGGGAATTATCTTTGTTCTAAGCCTCAAATTATTCATTTAAACCACTTGGCCCCCACAAGTTAAAAACTAATCAGGTCCTCAAGAAAAAAAAAAAGAAAGAAAGCATGTCATAAGTGAGAACTAACAAAAAATGCACACACTCGCAAAATCACTGCTATTGTTACAGTAATCTGTAACAAAGGCCCCAAACGTGTTCATTGAGAGCAGGAGTCTATAATCTAGGTGGGTTTGACTTCAAAGAGTGCAGGTCCCTGACCCGCCTACATCGGGTGTCCCTAGTCCTCCTTAGACTGTTGAGTTCAGGTCATGATTTTGTGGCAGTAGCAGAAAGGTGCAAGAGTGCAAACTCAGTTGCACAAACTCATTTTGAGTCTCTACTTACAACACTTGAAATACTCCTGCTTACTCTCCATTGGAATAAAACCAATGTTTTCCATGAGATATAAATACTACTACCAAACCTCACTGCCATCGAGTCAATATCTACCATATAGGACTGGGTTGAACTGCCCTTGTGGGTTTGAGACTCTACTTGTTTACAGGAGTAAAAAGCCCTGCCTTTCTCCCTCAGTGGGATTGGTGATTTTGAACTACTGATCTTGCATTTAGCAGCCTAATGTATAGCCACTGCACTACTACTAGAGGGGAGAGAAACATTGTGATTGTTACTCAGCTACCATGTTAGGCTGGGTCGACTGGAGAAACAAATCCAGTGACACTCATATATGTGGAAGAAAGAGCTTTATATCAAGAAGTAATTGTATATTAGGAAAACATCTCAGCGCAGTCCAGATCAAGTCCATTAGTCCGATACTAATCCATAAATCCTTCTTCCGCTACTACAAGCAATGATGCAAAATGCAGGAAGATCACTGGCTGGTTGATGCAAAGTCTTGCGGATCCAATGGCAGTGGACACATCTTGAGGGCTCTCACAGGTTTCAGCGTGACTCCCAGGCATGAAGGTGAAGGCAGAGAGACAGATAGGGGCTGGCCTCCAGCGAGCCACTTATCTCGGTAGCACCTCTAAATCAAGCTATGACATGATTGAAAGGCTAAACTCCACCCCTACACATTATTTATCAAGTTGACACAAAATTAAGTAACTACCACAGTTACCATACCCGTGAAGACTTTAGATAATGGAATTATTTAAAGCATCAAAATTTACTGTATAGAAATGAATGAATGAATGCGATAACTTTAGGAAGTAGCTTTGAAAACGAGGAACAATCCAAGCCTTAAGCTACAATAGTAAACGCTTTTATGAGCAAACTAGTGAATGATGCATGAAGCATCCAAAGAATATGGAAGGGATCCACTGTACCATAAGGAATTGGTCAACATTCATTAATTTCTGGAGGTAGCATAGGATCAGACATCAATGATATTGAAGGAACATATTCAAGCTATATAGAAGGTATGTGTGGAAAACCCAGCTCTAGGAATTGACAGAATACCAAATGAAACGTTTGAAAAGGCTGACGCATGCCTGAGGCTCTCACTTGTTTATGCTAAGAAATTTGGAGACAACTGGCCAACTGACTGGAAGAGATCCATATCTGTCCCCATTCCAAAGGTGACCCAACATTGCAGCGATTATAGAATAATTGTCAACAGTTAAAGTTAAAGGAAAATTTTCCTGAAGACAATTCAAAACTATCTTTAACAGCACATTAGCGGAAATGCCAGAAAATCAAGCTGGATTCAGAAAAGAATGTTAGATGAATGATATCCTTGCCGACACCAGCTGGATCTTTGCTAAAATCAGGAAAAAATGGAAATATAGTAACTGCTTTATTGATTATGCATCGGTCTTGGACTCTCTGGATCATAACAAATTAATGGAGCACATTGGGAAGAATGTCAATTCCAGAACAATTAGTTGTATTACTGTGGAACCTGTACATAGACCAAGAAGCAGTTGGGACAGAACCAGGGGGATACTGTATGGGTTAAAATAAGAAAAGGTGTGCACCAAAGCTGTCTCCTTTCATCATACTTAGTCTGGATGCTGAGCAGTATCATCTAAGGATTAGAGAAAGGCTTATTAACAGCCGGGCTTTCTGAAAGTAAAAAGAATTTGAAGCACTTACTGATGAAGATCAAAGATTGCAGCCTTAGGATAGATTACCTCTCAAGGAGCTAATTGACACATCCGCTGTAACAGTGAGTTCAAACATAGCAACAACTGTGCAGACGATGCAGGGCCAGGTAGGGTTTTATTCTGGTGCACGTTGGGTCAGTGACAGCTTACTAGACAGGACCCAACAGAAACATGACTTTGTAGCTGTACTTTCTGACCTACCATGTGTTTGTGTGTGTGTGTGTGTGTGTATGTAACTAATTAGCTTTAATTAACTTTTATCTAGTTTGAGATGTATCTTCAGAGAAAGGAATTTAATGGTGATAGAACAAATGCATATTTTTGTTAGAATTGCTAAATTTTATCTCCATTGCCCTTATGCCATTTTAGGACTCCCACCCCGTAGTTACATATGCCTGTTTTCCTTGCTTATAAATGGTGTTGTCAGGGTTACAAAATGTTGGCAGTCTGACCAGGAAGAAATAGTATCTCAGGAAACATTCCCTTTGCCTTTCCTTCAGGGACAACGTGTCGTCTGTTCTCACCTTTGTGTGGGCCGCTTGTATATCAGTTTGTGAACTATTTATCTATTCATGTCTATTTTCTTAATAGGGTTTAGACTATTTTCTGTTTTAAATTTTTAAGTGGCCTTTTTAAGGGAATTAGCTCTTCATCTGTGATATATGTTCCATATTTTACAATACAATACCTTTATTTCGGTCACAGGAATTCTGGTTGTATGCCTGTAATTAAGGATTTAGATGTTGAGACTTCTGCCATGCCCTCACCTGTATCATTGCATTCTTTTTATATTATGAATCATTTTGGTTTAACTCATCTTTTTTCACCATGAAAGGGAATAACTAAAATAATCGTAGTAAGCAGCCGATTTCTAAAGTCAATCACATGGGTATTTTTTTTTGAGATTTTATAAAGGCATTCATATACCAAATGGGTGGAAACGTGTATTTTATTTTTTGTAGCACTATTTTAGGTGATAATGTATCTTTTCAACATTTTGGAGAACAAAAAGAAAACATCCTGATTTCTTTTTGAAAAATTATAATCTTTCCTTGAAATTAAAATATTAATGAGAGTTTGGCATTGGCTATGATTACGTGAAATTTCTTTCAATACAAAACCTGCTTTCTCTATGTATTTCAGGTTTTGACAACAATTCGTTCAGGACACCGAGCAAATATATTTAGTGCAAAGTTCTTACCATGCACAAATGATAAGCAAATTGTATCCTGTTCTGGAGATGGAGTAATATTTTATACTAATGTTGAGCAAGATGCAGAAACCAATAGGCAATGCCAATTTACGTGCCATTATGGAACTACCTATGAGGTACAGTATTATGATTACATATATGTATTATAATTATGTAAATGTACTTGTACAATTTCATGTATATGGATCTGTAGATGTGTATATATGTATGTATATAAATTATGTGTTGAGGGACTCAAATTGTGTTTCTCTTCAATCATCATTGAATTATGGGAACCAAAGAAGTCTGAAGAGGCAAGATTAGGGCTCAAGGGTGGATCAGGTAAGGTTTGCCTTTGAAATTTTTACAGGACAGCACTTGTGGGGGGTGGGGGGGCGGTGAAAGGGGGATTCTCAGAGCAATTTTCCTGGCATTTTTCTCACTGATAGTAAGCCCTCATGATCATCCTGTGTCCTTTGAGGAAATCTTCAAGATTTCCCATTTGGAATTTCAAAAAACAATCACTATAACTCTCTGAGCTGACCTCTTCTTGAGTGTAAATGGTCCACCAGCAGACTGGACAAGTAAGAGAACTTGTCTGCAGCCAGCCATTGACCAGTTATCTCTGTTTAAACATGTTGTGTGTGGAATAAGCCCATGCATGCATATACTGGAATGCTAGTAGCAGTACTTTTTGAGTTAATCTCTTATATATATTTACTAAAAAATATAGACAGACAGTCATATATACATGGATAAAGAAATAAGTAGCTTTCCACAAAGCTTTTCAGAAAATTTACTTGGATGTGTTTGTGTTTTAAAAAAAGATGTAAATAATGTTGTTAGATGGGCTTTGCTTAAGAAACCAATTATTGTATAACTCGAGTATAAGCCGACCTGAATATCAGCTGAGGCACCTAATTTTACCACAAATACTGCATAAAAAGTGTGCTGAAAAACTCGGCTTACACTCAAGTACATATGGTAAGATGCTCTAAGAGAACAAATATCCACATGAAAAGATCACTCCGTAACTGTGCTGCCTGGCGCTTCAGTAGGCATTAAGCTCCTAACCACTTTCCGTCACTGGCTTGAATACATTCTGTGCTGGCGTGCATATGAAATTTCCACCTGTCAGAAGGAACACTTGTATACCAGGCTAAAGAATATAATTCTAAAGGGTATTATAAAGCTTAAACTCTGTGCAGAATTGAATGAGGTGAAATGAATGTAAGCCTCAATTGTACTGCTTATTGTAGAAAAAAATTCTTAAACTACAGAAAACTCTTAAAATATTTTCCTGGCATTCCCTTACATCAGCGGTTCTCAACCTGTGGGTCGCGACCCCTTTGGGGGTCAAACGACCCTTTCACGGGTCGTCCAATTCACAACAGTAGCAAAATTACAGTTATGAAGTAGCAATGAAAATAATTTTATGGTTGGGGGGCTCACCACAACATGAGGAACTGTATGAAAGGGTCGTGGCATTAGGAAGGTTGAGAACCACTGCCTTACATGAAAGTATTCAGGGTGGTTTCCTGAAATCTTTGTGTTAACCTCGTATGCCTTTTTGAATATCCTTTGGATCTTATATGAATAGTGTATATTTTGTTGTCTTATCTGTTCTCAGAATTTTGACTTTTAACTGGAGATTCAGACAATTTATATTCATTGTGAGTACTGTCTTATTTATATGTCTTAAATGCTTTTCACTTATATTTTTATTTTTCTATATGAAACATCCTTTCCCCCCTTTGCACATATCTTTTGAATTGCGTGAGGGTTTTGATTTTTGTCTATTTGCTTTCAGCCATTTGCTTAGAAATAGACACTTTGTTATTTTAAGTTCACCATGGTGTGTTTTTTTTTCTTCTAGCTTCTTATTGTTAGTTAGAAGAAGGCTTACAGAGCAGATCATCAGCTTGACATTAACAATTCTTAGATATTGTAGCTCAACTTATGTACTGTGTTCCCCTCCGTGTACCATCACGCATCCTACTTCCTCCCTGTGTTTCTTATTTCCATTCCTCGTTCTTTCCTAACCTGCTGAACTTTGTCCTGGAGTGAATGCTGCCCTTTTGTCTTGAATGATTGATGAGTTCAACATGGGCATGAGTTCAGTTCCAGAGCTGAAGGGTAGCTAAGAGTCGTCTTGGATCCCATTGGGGTGCTCTCTCTCTGTGTCAACGTTTCTTAAATGTGGTAAGGCCAGGGTGATTCGGAGACTTTATCAAATATAGACGAGGGAGTTCATTAGCACAGGGTCATCATTGAGTCCAGGGATTTGCTGCAATGCAGAGCTTTAAACGGGGTGTAGGTGGTAGGCATTACATAAACATGGTTGCTGGCAGATCAGTACAGCATATTTACTGTGGGACTCCTGGAGCTCACTGGGGGCCAAGATCGGGACATGTACATTACGATTACAATATTCATCCTAAGGCAGCCAGGGCATGACCTATGACTATGGGACTCCAAGTATGGTAATCTCCATCAAGTATACACACCCAGGTAAGCCTCTAGGGAATATTGCGCCTCCCTGGACTGGTCAGTGAGTTTGAGGCAATCCACTTTCCGGTGCACTCCAAAGCCACTCCATCACATCCAGTCTGACTCCTGGGGACCCCAGAGGACAGGATAGAATGGCCCCCGTGGGCTTCTGCGGTTGTAACTCTTTACGGGAGCGGAAGGCTTCGTCTTTCCCCCACAGAGCAGCTGGTGGTTTTGAACTGGTAACCCTCTATACCAGCAGGGCTCCTTATACATGTAGTTTCGTAATTATTGCTTTCTGCCATTTTTATGTTAGAGTTTTGATTTGAGTGAAAAATTATAGAGCAAATCGGTTTCCCATTCAACCATTCATACATACCATATATACTCGAAGATAAGCCGAGTTTTTTCAGCACATTTTTAATGCCGTTTTTGTGGTAAAATTAGGTGCCTCGGCTGATATTCAGGTCGGCTTATACTCAAGGATATTTGCCTTCTGTGACATTGATTGCAGTACCCACAATGTAACAGCACTCTTCCCACTGTTTACCCTTTTATTTGTCCTGTTTTATTCCTTCCTGTCTTCTGAGAAAACTCTGCCCTTTGATCTCATCTAATTGATTGTTCTAAGGAGTATGTACCTCCTTGTGTTACTGTTCACCTGTAGTCCTGTCCACCGTTGGATTAAGTGTTGAGTCATGGAAGTGAGTTCAGTTCCAACCTTGAAGGGTGTCTAAGGACTACAATCTCAGGGGAGCCACCAGGCAGTGATCATGGGTCATCCAGATTACCCGAGGGCAAGCTGGTGGGTAGTGGCTACTGGTGGTATGTCATTTTTCCAGTGGTGCTGAAGTTGGTGGTGGCACTCATCCAATGGATGGGTCACCAGGTGTGATGGAAATGGCTAGACAGAGTCTATGGCTTCTGAGTGCTGAAGAAAGAAATGAGAAAAAGGGGTAGGGAGAGGAAGAAAATGATGTGGGGGTGGGGGGCAGGGTGAGGGAAGATAAGGAGAGAGAATAGAAGAAGAAAACAAAAAACATCACACTGGCACTGGCAAATGCAGAGGGTGGCACCTGCCTTGTTGTGAGCAGGCAGAGCCAGTCATCTGGTACCTGTTCTGATTGGAATACTGTTAATAGTGATTCAAAGTGTCTCTGCTCTGTTGGTTGACAGTTTATTGTTCCTTGTTCACTGCTTTTGTTCAGCTGATTTCTCTAACTAGTATTTAATCTACGTGCCCCAGAAATCCTGTGTGGGAAGTTCTAGCCTGCCATGTAGGACCACTGTTAGCTGATGGCAATGGGTTTTGGTATCAGTAGAGACCAGTCCCTGGAAAGGGACATTGTGCTTGAGGAAGGCCCTCTACAAGATGGACTGACACAGTGGCTCAACAATGGGCTCCAGCTACAATTGTGAGGAGGCGCAGGACCAGGAGGTGTTTGTTCTATGGAGTGCAGGTCCCTATGAGTGGGGATCGACTCGTTAGCACTTGAACACACACAGCATTCTGAAAAGTCGACAGTTCATACCTACCATTTGCTCTGCAGTAGAGAAGACAGACCTAGCAATCTGTTCCCATAAAGATGGTAGTTTAGGAAGCCCTGTTGGACAGTCCTGTAGAGACGTTCAAAGTCAGAATTGACCGCACAGAGCCACAACAACAGTTTGCTTTACCAATGCATCTGTAGCTCACAGATGCTAGTGATGACTTATTTTTATCTAAGAACGGCTAAATTGCCGCTCCATTTTGAGGGGTAGTTCTAGACTTCTTGATTGGCATTCCTTTTCTTTCAGCACTTATAAAATGCCATCCTACTGATGGTTGGATTCCATGGAGTTTAATGAGAAACCTGCCAATCTTAAAGTTTCTTATATGCTTTCACTGCCAGTGAATTGATTCCGACTCATAATGACACTGTAAGACAGAGTAGAACAATGTTTCCAATATTGTTCTTTGTGGGAGTAGAAAGCCTCATCTTTCCCATGGAGTTGACTGGTGGTTTCAAACTGCTGACCTTTCAGTTAGTAGCCCAATGCATAATCCACTACACCAGCAGGGCTCCTAAAAAGTTTGTGGAAAAAAATAGAACTAAAATATAATGAAATTTGTCACATGAACTTTTTGAAGTCTCCTCAGATGTTCATTTCCTGTTGTTCTGTTGCTTTAAAGAGTCTCATTCTCTGTGCCAGTTAGGCTATAATTTGTCCACAATTGACCTTCTTTAGTTTGTCTTAAATTACATCAGCCATTCCAAATAATGAGTATATGGATTAATATATTTTCCATCAATTTCAGGAAGTTTTGAGCCATTATTTCTTGAAATATCCTTAGAATTTCTAGAATGTCTTCTATTTTTTTGGAAGGTTTACATGTATAAGTAGTGCATATTTCTATAGTGTACTATTATAAAAAGTAATTAAAATTAAAACACTAATTGTAAAAATTATACTTATATTAGATTTCATTGTATAGTGTCATTATGATAATACAACTTTTAATTTATTAATTAGAGTGTGGAAGTCAATTTTTATTGTTTGTTTGAGTAAATGCTCCCAGGGAATGTATGCTCCTAATAATTTGGTCTGTAGATAGTAGTATACAGAGTGAAAAATCACTTTTTTACTTCATAATGGCATCAAGGCTGATAGTAACAACTGTTTCTGTAGCACTACTAGCTTGTTTGGGCAGAACTATCAATGGCATCTCTTACAAATATGAAGTGAGACAGTCTTGTTTTCTTGAATTTCGCTCTCATTCGTGGTGACTGTATTTTGTACTTTTCTTTTTTGCCATGCATATATCTAGTTTCATGGTGTTTGAAAAATTGATCCAATAGAAATATGGACATACCTGTACAGTATATGGGTTTCTAATGAGTTTGAGAGAGTTTGGGGCCTATCAAGGAAAAAGACATGTCCCGCTAACAGGAGGTGACTGCCCACAGCAAGGGGTGTTGCGATGAAAGGAGCTACCACATGGGGAAGAAGACAAGGAAATCCGTGGAGGAAAGGAGAGAAACACAAGAGGCTAATGTGTGCTTAGGTGATGTCTTTGTGCAGCAAGGTGTTGAGTGTCTAGGTCAAAGAACCCGAAGGCTGTCGGGGGTGTGGTATATACTCAACTGCAGGGTTTTATCTTATCTCAGCCTAGCAGCTGTTGGATGCCTTTTCCATAGAACGTATCAAAGAAGCAAGCTTTAAGTGGCTAAAAATCTACTTGGCTTGGGCCATTCCTAAAATAGTGCATGTGTGAAAATTTTAGCTTGATGCCAGTGGGCCTTTTTGGGAGCTAACAGACCCGTCGGGGCCAGTACATAGGAGACATACTCAGCTCGTAGCCATGTACAGGACAGAGCAGAACTGCCGTCTGTGGGTTTTTGAGACTAAATCTTTATGTAAAAAACCCTCATCTTTACCCCATGGAGCAGTTGGTGATTTGGAACTGCTGCTGACCTGGCAGGGGCAGCACAATCGGGACCCAGTATGCCACCGTTGCTCCTTCCAGGGCATATAGCAAGCTTTCAAAGTGCAAGAGTCATTTTTAAAAAGCTATTGAGAGGTTAATTTTTCTTCCTAAGTCATTTCGGCATCTCACACTTTTATTAAAAAAATTTAGAGGAGAAAATATATTTAGAATACACCTGGAAATTCACCTGTAGAAAACATACATTTCAAATAATTTAAACAGTTGACCTAGGGTAGAATCTTTGTTGTCTAAATTAAAAGTTTATAAATTAAAGTACTCTTTATCTTATGTTATTTGACTTCCAGCTTCAAAGTAATGACACATTAATTCAGCGATTGTTCTGTTTATATATGGTGTTTTGAATCATGGTGTAAGTCATAAATCATTAAAATAGTTTTTAGTTGCTTTCACCTTTAATCATTTATAGAATTGTAACAGTATTTTTTAAGCCACTTGTTGAGTATTCAGGAAGATGATTATACTTGTGTTTTTCATCTTTAGATTATGACTGTACCAAATGACCCTTATACTTTCCTCTCCTGTGGTGAAGATGGAACTGTGAGATGGTTTGATACTCGCATCAAAACTAGCTGTACTAAAGAAGACTGCAAAGATGTAAGATCCAAAGTTTTATACAAGTGATGCAAAAATATTAAAGTTATAATTGAAATGTAAATTATCGCTACATAATGAAAGGTGGACTCTTAAAACTCGTTTTGCTAAGATATTCAATAAGCATATACCTTATAATTTTAAAAAATTAAAATGTTAACAGTGAATTTAGAGAACTTAGATTATATTTCTGAAAAAAAATAGGTCATTCAACTTCACTAGTGCAACAAAAACGTGAAGCATTTATCAATATGCTTACTCATAGGGGCACTTTTACCTAATCCAATAGCTGTGATAAATATGTGATAATTTAGCATCCTTTGTCCCCTGTGCATGAAACCTTCTTTTGGTATTCTTTAGTAATGTATTATTTGGAAATAATATTTTTAAATAACATATTACTAGGAAATAATAGCAGCTAATATTATTTCATCCATGTGTTCATTGAGGCTTTAGCTCACTTTTCCAAGTCTGTGCCCTCTCTAGATAGAATAATTATTTTCATCCACTATAGAATTTGAACTGCGAAAAAGACTTGAGAAATCGTTCAGCTCACAAACCCCAGACAGTCCCAAGTGTTTTCCTCTGTGAGATGTTATTGTTAGGTGTTATGTAGAGGATACTTGTAGGAACTGACTTGCTGGTAGTGAGGTGTTTTTTGGGTTGTTGTTTTTTTTTACGGGGGCAGGAGTTTTTTCTTTGCATCTCTGATGTAAATAAAAAGTATTGCAAAATATATTTTTGCTAAAAGTTACAAAAAATAAAATAACCAGTATTAATTAATTTAATTGCTTGCAAATTAAACCAATTACTATTATACTTTAGGGTGAATAAACAATTATTTTATCTAGTTGAAATGAGGACCTAAAAAGCAAAAAGTAGAAATTGAAAAACAATTTTAGCATACAACATTTAAGTTAATTTTTGTCTTACATAGAGGTGTGCACACAGAGCAAGCAAGCAGGAAGCAATGAACTGGAATACATTTAAAGAACCCGACTTTTTTTTTTTTTTTTTTTAGGGGAATTTGGTATAGCATCTCTTAAAGTGATAGGCATTAAAATTTGTTATGCCACATTCTCTAAAATCTGTATTTTAGTGTACATTTGATCTTAAATTTTGCTTCACTAAATAAATCAAAGGCTTGTGAAAATAATGGATAAAGCTAGTAAGAAATAAGTGACATTATTCTTTGCTTTAAAAAACATTTGATATCTTTCTATATAAAAATTAATACTTACTCTGGTTGTCAGCTTTATACTATCTGTATAAAGAAAAGCTGATAACTAGTGTAATTATTAATTAGTACTTTTGAATGATGATATGAGTTGTTGAATCAATTCTATTTAACAGGAGTAAAGTTCTGAGATTAAGTTTATGAATAAAATTTAAAGTAAGTGCAATTTTAAAATTTAACTACTGAGAAGTATGAGGAATTAGAATGAAAGACAAATAAAGAATTAACTGAATGCCTCAAAGATCTATCTTCGGTATGCAGCTTTTACATTTTCTATTACTTCCAATACTAATAACTAATGACATTATACTAAACGCTATCATCTACAGCAATTGTATGCATCTATTCCAATTTTCAAACAATAAAATAAAAGATTTTATAAATGCATAATATTTTAAAATCAGTTTAAATATGTTTGGCATATTTTAATAGCAACAACTACAGTTAAATATTTTCAGAGCTATAAAATAATCTTAATACTTATACTGTATAAAAGCAGCTTATATCTCCATCTTTACTATCGAGTGGACCAATAACACTCTGTATTTCTAATGGTGTTAATGACTTAGTGATATATAACATTGATAATGTAAGTTTTTATATGTTCAAAGAAGACCTTCACCATTCACGACTGAGAATAGTTAGTAGACATTACTGAGATCAGTATTTACAAATACATCAGCAAATATATTAACAGTAGCTAGTGTACAAAAAGGTTTAAAACTGTATTGATCAGAATAATGAAGGTGGTAGAGGCTCAGGGATAGAATTCTTGCTTTCCATCCGGAGACCCTGGTTTGAAACTCAGTCAATGCACTTCATGCTCAGCTACCATCAGTAGAAGCTTATGTGTTGCTCTGATGCTGAACAAGTCTCAGCAGAGCTTCTAGACTTAGAGCAGGAAGAAAGACCTGGCAATCTGCGTCCAAAAACCAGCCGATGAAAACCTTATAGATAGCGTTGATACAGTCCATACTGATATGAGGATGGTGCAGGACCAGGCAGTGTTCTGTATGGGGTCACCATGAATTGGGGACCAATTTACAGCAGTTAACAACAGCAACAATATAAATGGTGGGTTCCTTGAAGTGTTAATTGCTGTATATACTCGAGTATAAGCAGTTTTTCAGCACATCTCTTATCACAATCCATACATTTATCCAGTGTCCCAACCACATTTGCACATATGTTGCCATCATCATTTTCAAAGCATTCTCTTCCCACTTGAGCTCCTTATATCAGCTCCCCATTTCTTTCCTCTCCCTCCTCCGCCAGCCCTCCCTCACAAACCCTTGATAAGTTATAGATTATTATTTTTGTATCTTACATCGTCCTCCATTGCCCCTCACCCACTTTTCCATTGTTCATCCTCCTGAGAGGGGGTTCTAGGTTGATCCTTGTGATTGATTTCCCCTTTTTGCCCCCATCCTCTCTTAATCCTCCTGGTATCTCTGCTCTCATTATTGGCCCTGGGCGGAGGGGTTATCTATCCTGGATTTCCTGTGTTGGGGGCTCTTATCTGTAATAGTGTGCTTGTTCTGGTCTAATCTGATTTGTAAGGTAGAATTGAGGTCATGATAGTGGGGGGAAGGAAGCACCAAAGAACTAGAGGAAAGTTGTGTCTATCATCTGTGCTATACTGCACCCTGGCCGGCTCATCTCTTCCCTGTGACCCATCTGTAGGGGGATGTCCAATTGTCTACAGATGGGCATTGGGTCTCCACCCAGGGTCCCACTCACCCACCCATTCACCTTTTGGTATGATTTTGTTATGGGTTTTACATGCCGGGAACCGGATCTCATCAGCACCTTATGATCACACAGGCTG